AAAATTTCAACAAATTTTACAATTTTTACACTAAAATCTACATTTTTCGCATATTTCCGTTATCTACAAGTACTTTTACGCTATGTTTGCTTTTAATTAATGATTTTCAATGCAATGAATGCGTTTATTACTGGTTTAATGCTTCAATAAGCACTATCCATCAAATTAGTTTGAGATAAAACTAGAGGTAATTGAAATGTGGTTTTTATTCCGTCAGGAAGCTGATGAAATAGATAATATCGAACATATCAGTTTCAACTATCAGTTTGATAGATTGAAGTAGTAGTTAATTAATTAATTTGAGTTCTAGATGCTTGAGAATGTCAGAAATGCTTAAGATACACGTAGGAAACAGTTAACTGCGTTTTGTACATCAATAATAACTTAATTATTTGATTTGTTGATTGAATTGGAGATTAAATAAAGATGAAAAATGATTGAAATGTTTGATAGTGTATGATGGGTTGTCGATTGTGGGACTAGGTTAGGTTATGCTAGGGCAACTTAAACATTGATTTTTTAATTTTTTTTTATTTTTCACGTTTTTAAAGGGTAATAAACAGATTTAATTGATAAAATATCATATTTTACTTTTATATTATTAAATATTTTGCTTGTGCACTTTTCATCTTACGAAATCGTGAAATCAACAGTTAGATTTAAAAAAATAGAAGAAAAAAAATTGAACATCTGCTCGTGCGCCTCGTCATTTATGCACATACGTATTTCATATACTGGTACTATAGTAGTGAAGAATGAGTATAGTATAGTAAGGGTAGTTTAAGGGTGGGTGCCGAATATTCACAGCTTGAGCTGAGTTTGAGTTGGCAGCGCGCGTGTGCCACATTGGCGGGCGCACACCTGGCCCTAACTAGAAATACGACAGAAAATATTTCTTTCCGTCTGTCTGTCGTAATAGCTACCGATGGTCACGGATGGCACGGGCGAATGCAAGAAAGCGTACCATACCGATTCACCACCATATGGTGGTGATTTAAGTTTACCGCTCGTTTTGCCCTAATCCGCATTTATCTTTTCACACAAACAGAAACTATGCATGCTTTTTCTTAACAGTTTAATGACGACGTGAATAAAATTTGAATTACTCGAAAACTATAAGTGATAATGTTGTGATTTTTAGAAATTAGTTTGGAATTAAATTCTATATTTAATTATGTAAAGAGTTTGTTTATATAATTATTGTGTATAAAGTTATGAACAATTAAAATTGCTTTTTTTTTGTATAAATTTATAAAATTGCTTTTTTTGTATAAATTTATAAAATTGATACAAAATGTCCTGTAACTTTTGATTAAAATAAGTTATAACTAAAATTTTTAAAAATTAGTTTAAGAATTTATTGCTAAACAATTCACAAAAATATTCATACAAAAATATTGAATAGTAACAAGTAATTATCAAAAAACTAAAACTTTGTAAGTCACACATTTCAATTTACACAATCGAAACAAAATACACTGTAACTTTTGATTAAACAATGTTATCACTACAATTTTTACATAATTACATGAAGAATTTAATGCTAAATAATACGCAGAAAGATTCATGAAAAAATATTGAATAGTTTCCGAGTAGGTAATTACAAAAAAAAAAAACTAAAACACATTTCAATTTTCACAATCGACAACAATCGACATAAAATACCCTGTATATTTTGATTAGAAAGCGTTATCACTAAATTATTGGCATAATTAGAAGAAGAATTTAATTCCAAACAATATATAAAAAAATCATACGAAAATATTAAACGGTTTCCGAGTAATTACCAAAAAACAAAAACTTTTCAAGCCCGATAAGTTGTCTTGAGAAGTTGTGAAGTCTTGGAAAACTAGTTTTATGCTTCTACATGTTAAAAACACGCCTGAAGATAAAAGATAACTACAATTCCATGAAATATGAAATAATATGGGCGTTTGTAAGAAAACCCTGTTTATACCTCCACTTGTTTTTATGTTTTCCGAGATTATTCGGTTTAAGATAAGTTTATCGCAGCTTTAACCACAAACAGTAGTAAAACCAAACAAACCACAAGGGATTACAATACTAGATACAACAACTAAACACCTACTCCAAAAACAAACATAAACAGGAAAAACTTCATTAAAAAAACTAAAATTTACTTGAATTTCTCAATAAAAATCAATAAAAATCAACGAAATTTATTTGTTTCCGTTCTTTGCTTTCTTTCCTTCTTCAAAATCCAAATAAATTTAAACTTAAAGAAAAAAAAACGATTTAAATCAATTAATAACTATTTTTCAATTAGCGGATTAAGCTCTAACCGGATACATAATATCAACATATCAACAAATAGAATTAAAAGAAATGGAACAGGAAACACGTCTCAAGTCAACTCAACCAAAACTTTTTTCTCTTCTTTTTCTCTTGTGACATCTTTAGATTAATTTTAATTCTAATTAAAAACGAAAACAAAACTTTGACATAATCGTGATTTATTACCATCCTAAACGAAACCAGTTATAAAATAATTAATCAATTTGTGCGAATTTCGGCGGCATCTACGCAAAACCCAACAGATTTCCATATTTGCGAATTTATCGACGCATAAAATTTTAAGTACCTACTTTTAACGAAGTGCTGACCTTGATGTTGTCAACACTGACACAAATTTGGGCATATTACTTTTTTTCATCTGTATCTATCTAATCAATCAAGAATCTAAACTTGTTCAACGATCAATAAAACCAATTAACTTTAAAAATAAAAAATTTAATAAAAAATTTTAAATTTGTTGAGATCAATGCACTTATTTCTTTTGCCTGTCATATACTGAATATATCTGATGATGAAATTAAACATACATAATTAAATTTATAGCCGACATTAATTTTATTCAAAAATAACAAACGTATGTATAATAAGCTGAGAAATGATTTGTTGATTGTTGAAGCATTGTATTACCGACACGTTTTGTTCAATGATTTCGATGAATCAGCAATTTCTTTGAATTTCGAATTTATTTCGTTGTTGAATTTATCATTGAAAGAAATGCACGTTTGTAATATAATTGATTTATAGAAATAATGAATAAATACATCGGAATGTATTGAAACTTGACTTGCGGTGCATTGTTAATCATCTTAAATTATTCTGCAGCTGCATGATTCGAAAGTGAAGAATTTTCTTTTGTAACAATTGCGATAATTCATGGCTTAGATGACTCAATCTAACCACGATAAGGTTATACAAAGGATATAAGAAGAAAAATGAGCGATTTGTGTCTAGTTTCGATTTCGTTTGTTTCTCATTACAACAAAGCGAAGACAAAACAAACGCGTTTGTTGTTTATAGGAGTTCATGGTTGAGTGAAGACTGGGGATTACTAAGTTAATTTGTTTTCAAGTATTCTAGCATTGTTTTCGTTCATGTTTAATGTTTCCTATTCGTAGGTATACACTGTATTAGAGTATGTGTCATGTATGTTTGGTTGCCTACAGTAACATAACCTGTGTATATACTCGTAAATGTGCATAAGAATAAATGTTTTCATTCGTTAAATTGCATTAGAACACGTATTCTGATTCATGTATACTTGGTTGCCTAATGTAGCCTAACCTGTGTTAAAAATGTGCATACAAATGAAACAATGTGTTCGATCAAGATTATTATTTCCTAGTCGTGTTCAGATGCAAAAACAGAAATGGACCATGACTTGTGTATGTATGGTTGCCTAATGTAACATAATTGTGAATAAAACAATGTTTTAGTAATTTTATTCCATCAAAATGAGTGATTTCCTGTGAATTCGCAGGAAGATGTGATCCGATGACTTGTCAACAGGATGACTCGACAAGTTGAGAATTCAATTTCAATTTCGCTCGCCGGTTGCCGGCGACGCAGCCACCGTTCTTGGCGAATACGTGCGTTTGTTGTAACCTTGAAGGTCATCCGACAATTAATCGTGAATCACTGCTGTGAATATCCATCATGACTTTACTTTACGCATAGATTTCCGACTAACGCGTAAAGTATTTAGTGAATTGTAAAACGACGCGGATACAAAATAAACCGGAAATTAATGGAAGTAGATTAAAAAGATGGCGGCTACTGCCATGCGCGTGAAACATGCGCAAATAATTTATAAAACAATTAAAAACAATAAATAAATAATATTATAATAAACTTGATGTAGTTATGCATGGCTATGAGTACATGCAATTCCACTTGACAGTTTATGTTAGTCATAATAACAATAATAATCATTCGTGTTTTGTTTCATTGCATCGCTCCCGCTAATGTTACAGCATGCAATTGTTTATTAATGTTTATTAATCATAATACGTATAATATTGATAGTTGAACGTTCCTGGAACGCATTTTACTGATTTTATAAACAAATCAAGTATTATTCACCATATAGGTTATAATATGCGTTCGGCAGTTGTACCGCAACTCAAATAATGGATTTTTCACGATTTTTGTTTAAAAAAAATCATAAATATCGCAATTAAAAACAAATTGTAAACAATTATTGCCTGGTTTTTACTCTAAAACAATTATTGAAGCAAAAAATTGATAATAATTATTTATAATTTTGATTTTTGTAAGTTAAAGCAAAAAAATTATGTCGTTAACTATAAAATTCATGATGTAACACTTAATTATATTTATTTCTATTGAATTTTGTCTTTTTTTTGTTGATTTTTTCAATTTTTTGTCTTTGTGCTCATTATTTTTGCATCGTTTGCAAGAATAAACTAAATAAAATATCTAATTATACACATAACACGCCACATTTCAATATTTCAAAGATATTACCTTTAATTGCTTCACTAATTACACCTGGACAAATGATTTCTATATTTAGAACCATTTATCATATCAGATTTCAAATTATCATTTAAAACGCATCTTGATGTACTTTAAACTTTCTATTTCATTATATTTTAATTGATTTTAATTTCATCGGCACGCACAGATAAATATTTATTAATAATTTGAATAAAAATATCACTTACCAGTGGATTTACGAATTGAATTGAAAGTGGAATTATTGCAGGTACTAAAAGTACAGTTTTCAAATAATCCGTGAAATTGCACTAGTTTCACGCAAAGTTTTAAACTTTTTTCGAGTGTTGTGTGTTTGAAAAGTGTTTACTCGGTTGAACTATGTTTTTAACTTGAAGGTGAAACACTTTATCACTAATGCTGACTTTAAAAGTAAATCGAACACGCCGATTGCGATTGTAATTGATGATTAATCGCAGCGTACGCGTTGCACTCGTGCGGCGCGACGCATTGAGATTTTGTTGATTTGCAACTCGACGCGACGCGCTAGTAATCAAAACGTGAGTGTTCGCATTTCGTTCGGTTATCAACACTCGAACGATGCGGGTTTACCTGCGCAAAGTGGGGAAAATGAAACGCGCTCTGATTGGTTAGTATAAGAGTATGGCTGTTGTTGATTTAACATAGGCAACCGAATATACACCAAACATGTCTTTTTGAAATATTGATTATTTTGTTGTTTATACTTGCAAAACTAGTTTGTTTATGCAATTTAATAATAAATAATGTTGTTTTATACATATTTACGTATTATTTCTGTGTTTTTCTGAATTTTCTTTAATTTATTTGTGTAATTATACTCTTACAACGTAATTATGCAATTGTTTTTTGTTTTTACTTAATAATGTTCTTAAATATCAATATTATTGTTAAAATAAAACGTGTTTTTTGATATTTACTACGTTTTTGCTAAAATTTGCAATAATATTTTAAATATTCAAAAATCTAGTTATTTATTTTAAGTTGGTAGTAGGCATGCGCACTGACATCGCCCGCCAGCTTCCTTTCAGTGCGCAGCGGCCATTTCCGTCTTTTCGTCACAGACATCAAAATGCAGAAGGTGGGTTACACATTTTCGCGAAACAAATCAACAAAAAGTGAACATAAACACTAAATTAATGTGTCGTTTTACAGACCAAGAAGGAACCTATCCCCTCGGTGCAGGTTTTCGGCAGGAAGGTGAGTTTCAGTCACGTTTTTCACACACGTGTAATGTTTACGCGTTGTGAGGTTAAACCTAACTCCCGAACATGTTTGCTAACGTGCTTATTCACATTTTTAGAAGTCCGCCACCGCGGTAGCTTACTGCAAGCGTGGACGTGGTGTCCTCCGCGTGAATGGCCGTCCTCTCAGCCAGATTGAGCCTAAGATGCTCCAGGATAAACTACATGAACCTATCTATCTGCTTGGCAAGGTATGTTTATCACATTTTCATTGATAACTTTTAAAAACTTATTTGAATGATGATTCTTTATCCCGAAATTGAGTATTTTACGCAATGAAATGATAATTTTTCTGACTATCTTATCATAAACTCTTCATATTCACTAATAACTTTAAAATAAAGTGATTCTAATGAATACTTTGTATTTTTACAGGAAAAATTCGCTGCAGTTGACATCAGAGTGCGCGTAAACGGTGGCGGTCACGTCTCCCAGATCTACGCCATCAGGCAGTCGATCAGCAAAGCCCTGGTTGCTTACTATCAGAAATACGTTGATGAAGCCAGCAAGAAGGAACTGAAAGACATTCTCATTCAGTACGACCGCACACTGCTCGTAGCCGATCCTCGCCGCTGCGAACCCAAGAAATTCGGTGGTCCGGGTGCCCGCGCTCGCTACCAGAAATCTTACCGTTAATTTTATTTTCATTATTTGTATTGTAACATACTGATACAATAAAAATTATAAAACTACTTGTTTCGGTATAAAATCGTAGCATTTTTCATTAGATCCATGAAAATCAAAATGGCGCGCATGCGCAGAACTAACTCCCTTCAATTTCTTGCTAAAACTTGATGTTTGTATAAATGCATTAACAGTTTATTGTTGATGTGAAAATACAGGCTTAATTATATCCGAGTACGACTTGAGAATTAGTTAATTCATACATTACGTTGTTAATTCGATACAAATCCTTACTCCACGTTGAACTTAACCCTCCGATTGCTTTGTTCCACGGGCCAGCCGAAATAAAGACATAATTAAAAAAAAATAGTGATGAGACAAGCTTGCAATGTGCCAATGATGATTAAATGTAAATAAAATTACGCGTGTTAAATAACTTAACAATGTCCCCGGTCTTCGACGCGTTTCCTCGGCGCAGCCTTGATAATATTATCAACGCGCAGAATCATCTCAGCAGCTTCGGACGCAGACAACAAAACTTGCCTCTTCACAACAAAAGATTCAGTAATGCCCAACTCTTTCATATCCCCCACAGTACCAATATCCATATTCAAACCTTTCGTCGATTTCGGCGTGTTGACATGCCCAGCGCGCAACTCTGTAACCAACTGCGCAGAATCATACCCGGCGTTGTCAGCGATCACCGTTGGTAACTGCTGCAGCGCACGCGCGAATGCCTCCATAGCTACAGCTTCTTTTCCAGGCGTTTTCGCGGCTGCGTTCACCACAGCGACAGCCATTAACATCTCGCTGCATCCACCACCATAAACAATCTTTGATTCTTTTACAGTTGCGGCTAAGACACAAAGCGCATCGTGTAAACTACGATCAGCTTCATCAATAATCTGCTGAGTTGCACCGCGGATTACAATAGTACAGGCTTCACCTAGAGCTACACCTGAGAAACGAAGTAGTGTATCTTCACCAATCATTACCTGTTCGATAACATCACAGGTTCCCAACTTGACTAAATCAGGATTATCGAAAGTGGAAACAATTTCACCGCCTGTGACTAAGGCAAGACGTTCAATACCGTCGAAATCAGCGTGTTCGATCGCCATGACACCAGCGTCAGCAAAAAGCTGCTCTGGGTAGTTGTAGATCAACTGTCTGTTGATGAACACATTGCAGTTGTGTTTGAGGATCTTACCGACCTTATCCTTCATTTTTTCCTTTTCAGCTGATTCTAATTCAGCGATTTTCGCCATGGAATCCACCTTGATGTGACTCCCGAACACTTTGATCTTGTCTGTGTCCATCGGTGTGTTGGCGATGAGGATCTTCGCCTTTTCGATTCTCTTCGGTTGATGCACGCCTACTTTTTTATCTAAAAGAAAACCTTCATCGAGGAAAGAATCTTCTAAAGTTCCGCCTTGTTTCTTGATGATTTGAATCGCGGATAATTCTCCGGAGCCTTTCAATCTTAAAACAGCATCCACGGCGAGTTTGGCGAAGTATTCTTTATGTTGAGAAAGGATTTTCGAGCTTAATGTAGTCCTGGCGATGTTCATCAGGTCTTCCCTGAATTTTTCAGGGTCGGCGCTGTTGTCAACGGCGAATTCACGAAGTGCTGTCCTGGCTACGTCGACGGCTTTCCTCCAGCCGGCGATGATTGTCTGCGGGTGGATTTTCTGTTCGATGAGTTTCTCGGCTTCTTTGAGGAGTTCGGATGCGAGGACTGTGACTGAGGTAGTGCCATCGCCGACTTCGTCGTCTTGTACTTTAGACATGTCGACGAGGACTTTACCGGCTGGATTGTCTACGCCGACGGATTTGAGGATGGTTGCGCCGTCGTTGGTTACTTCGACTTGACCGGCGCTGCGGCCCATTGAGACGAGGATTTTGTCCATGCCTTTGGGGCCCAGGGTGCTTTTTACCAGCTCACCGATGCAGATTGCTCCGATGAAGCTGGACATGCGGGCCATCTCGGCCTTTTCTTCTTCGGCTTCATTTTTAAGTACTCTGACTGAGTTTAGAGCAGTCTAAGGATAAAAACAATAATTTATTAGTAATAATACCTCAATAACATATAAATATGATGATTAAAGATTCATAAATGGTAGATTTTTAGGTAAAATGTATTTTTGTTATTCAAAATGGCTGCAGAAACAGAAGAAACCTTTCAGACCGTTACACTGCACTTATTTGGAAGAGAAAAACTTAACCTAAACTAATAAAACATAATAAATCCAATGAAAAACCATCAGAAACGTATGTTTTATACATGATATTATCACCAAATAAAATCTTTCCTTTGATTCTATTGAATTTAACGTGAATAAACTAAAATTAACAAGCACGTGGGTCCAACCGGCTCGTCTCCTTCATGCATGACACACCTGAATGTTCTAGAAGCAATTTTGATTCGAAAATCGCAACGAAGTCATTCTCAGTGGCCAAATATAGTAAACGAATGTGTAAGAAAGCCATATGTGTACGTACCATTTTGTGTTAATTATCCTGCACTTATTTTAATCACAAATCACAAAAACTGCAAGCACTTCAGCAAGCGGTGCGGGTTCTGTGAGGTTTATGCGCCGCGAGTGGTGATTTTGAGAACTACAAATGAATCACAAGTTTAAGCAGTGCTGCCAACATTACAAAAGTTTAATTTGTTTAAAACTTAACTTGGTTATTGAATATTTAAGTGAATAAATCTTAATAAGTATTTAATCATTTTAGAAAATAGTGTTATAGTAGTATTATTGGTAGGTATAAGTTAAAATACTTATATTAATAGGTTATAATTGGGTTGCCTATGTTTAACTTTGAGAAACTTATTTATCCGCAATATAGTTTTGAATTTTTAAAAACTAATTAACTTTACACCCACATTTAGAAACTGTTTGCTTACTGGGCATGTGAAAATGCGTAATCCGATAGTAACCAACTATAAATAATTATTTCCGTGGCATAAACGCTGATTGCTTGTGAATATTTAATGATTTCATGAATTTTAGGTCTCAAATTACACAAACGCTGAAAATCAACACAAATCACCTAAAATTAATCATTTTCCGATTCATTTTAACTTAAAACAATAAAAACTAAATATATACACAATAATAAATCAAATTTTTACTATTCCTGCCAAAATAAAACCAAAATTCATCCAAAAATAAATTAAAATAAAAGTTATCATAGTTTTCAGACACAATAGCATCGAATTCTGCCCATCTGCGCGTTTGTATTTATACAATTGTAATGTTGATACAAATATGATGTGTGTGAGCGAGCAGGCCAATGCTAATTTTGGCGTCGCATGGACGGGGGCCGAAAATTGCCAAAGCTCGCGCTGCTCGCGCCTGTAAACGTCGCGACGCCGTCGAGAACGCTCGCGCCGCATTCCAATTCACGCGCCGAGCTTAAAACACGCTTCAATCCACTCGGAAACGCAGTAAAACTCTGTAAAAAATCTCGTAAAACACTGCAAAACGTCGTGATTCTCTCGGTGTTTGTATAAAGTTGTAAAATTTGCATTAAACGAGCGTGAAATGAGTGCGAAAGTTAAACAAACGTGAACTTGGATTACAGTCAAGACGGAAATTAAGAATAAATTTAATAATTTTATGTTTAAAGGTAAATTTTCTTGTGTTTTTTAATGTTTTTCTTAGTTTTATTAATATTATTAATAAATTTAAGGGTGAAATCTTTGGTTTGCGTGTGGAATGTCGAGTTTACAGTTTACATAATCCAAATCCACGCGTGTTTTATTTATTTGTTGCTTGTTTGCTGAATCGAGCGAAACGCGAGCACTGAGCAAACGCGCGAAGTTATTAATAAGATGGCGCGCCTACGCCTACTATGCTTCGCGTGCTCTTCCTCGTTGATGGCGTTGTAATCAAATAATTTGTATTTGCAGATTGTGGAGTGCCCACTCGATAAATATCAATATTTAATTGATAATTAGAAGCGTACAGCATGATTGTGGTCGACGAGAGTGATCCTGTCGGAGGTAGGCAACCCAATATACACTTTAAATAACCCAACACTTAAATTTTATGTTTTCATGCGTTATTATTTAAAATTTTAAAGAAAATAGTTTCACAACTATTAAAAACTAAGTTTCCACGCAATATTTTGCTTTCTTTGTGTTAATAAATCATGTGCAACTTCAAAAACAGAAAAATATGCCACAAACTGAAAATAAACAGTTTTGTTTTGAATCAAAATGGCGGCACGCACGTGTAGAGTCATATACAAATCAATTTTATGTTTCTAGGGCAATTATCTAGGTTGCAGTGATGCTTAAAGGCCTTGATTTTGTAATTTTAATAAATTTCAATCAAATTTCAGTTTTTGGAGGTTTAAAACGTGTGAATAATTTGAATCAACATTGAATATGATAGAAATATAATTTGCCTATAAATAATTGTTGATAATAGTGGTCGCGATGGACGCGAAACACACGAAAACACTAAAAATACGAATACTTTTCGCCCCGCTATAAATATCATTACGTTTGCGCCTCTCGCAATCGCCGTTCGGAATGGTATCTTCACTTGGATGTGTTCGGCTGTTACTCGTTCGCTCATTTGTTCGCCATGTTCGCATCGTTCACATGATTCACGCGTTGGCGCGGCGTCGCGGCGCGCCATAAACAAAACTTTCCAAGTGCGAGCTCAAACTGCGCCATTGAACGATCGCGAGCCAATAAAGCTATTTAATTCAAGTTGAGTAAACAACGCACACAATTGATACATTGAAACAAGAAAATGTGCGATTTTTGAGTACATAACCTTAATTTTAGACTTTTTAAGTTTTTGTATGTTAGGTTAGGGTTGTTGGGAGTTAAGATAATGTTTGTGTAAGGTGAATGTTGCTGATGATGAAATTCTAAATGCTTTTAACCTTGGCCATTGAGAATTCAAGCTGAAAACTTGACGCAACGTGTGATGGGATGATATTGTTGTTCGGCTATTTTTTTGGCATGCGACCGGATGCGACGAGTGACGAAATTGCTCGGCTCGGTGCTTTTGATGCGTGAAAGTTGTGTAAGCTGTAAGACAGGACTATACTGGTGGGATAAATGACACAGGGATTTTTAAACGCGTTTGTTTTCTTTGTAATATCATCAGATATTTATATTAGAACTTTGTGACTATAGGCAACCTACAACACACAACTATAATGACATATTACAACCAAAATCAATTTAATATTGCAAAAAATTAAGTTTTAATTGAGTTTAAGGCAACATTTGTTAGTTTTTTAAGAGGTAACCTTTAAATTACAACAATTCTAACCTAACAACAACTTAAAACTCAAAAATTAAGATTTTATAAACGTTTTTTCTTTGAAATATTATCAGATACTTATATTTGAGCTTTGTGACTATAGGCAACCAACAACACACAACAAGAATAACGTATTACAACCAAAATCAATTAAATAGTGTGATAAATGAAGTTTTTATTGAGTTTTAGGCAACATTTGTTAATTTTTTAAGAGTTAGTCTTGAAATTATAACAATCCTAACCTAACAACAACTTAAAAATCAAAAATTAAGATTTTATAAACGTGTTTCCTCTGTAATATCATAAGTACTTTATATTTGAGTTTTAATGTAACTATAGGCAACCAACTTTACACAAAAACATCAAATTACAATTAAAATGACTTTAATATTGAAATTCAAGAAGTTTTACTTGATATTATGTCATTTTGCAGAGGTAGCCCTTAGTTTTCCATACCGTGATGTCCAAATCCGTAAAAACATCGACCCGAAAGACCTCTACGACCTCCAAGAAGAAATCGGCCGTGGTAAATTCGGCACAGTATACAAATGCAAAGAAAAGACATCCGGGTTACAACTAGCCGCGAAATTCGTCGGCGTTCCGAAAAAAGAAGACCGCCGAAATGTGGAACGCGAAGTGGAAATTATGCGCGAATTGCAACACGCGCGATTGATTCAACTTTACGACGCCTTCGAAAACGGCAAAGTAATGTGCGTCGTCCTCGAATTGTAAGTAAAACATTGTTAAATTAAACTCCAAAGTTTATTTATTTCATGCAAATTCTGCGAAACAGAATTGTGTTTTGCGCTAGAGATAAATTCGATGTGTTTAAAATTAATTCTCAACAGAATCGAAGGCGGTGAGCTATTCGAACGCGTCATCGATGACGACTTTGTGCTTACCGAGAAAAGCTGCACGGCATTCATGAGACAAATCTGCGAAGGCATCGCTTTCATCCATAAACAACGAATATTACATCTGGATATGAAGGTAGTGTATATTTAAGGTTATGTAATGAAATGTTGATTCGGTGTAACTTGGGTTGCAGCCTGAGAATATTCTCTGCCTGACAAAAACAGGCAATCGCATCAAAATCATCGATTTTGGCCTTGCGCGTCGTTTTGATCCCGATAAGAAACTGCAGGTGTTGTTTGGCACGCCGGAATTTGTGGCGCCTGAAGTTGTCAACTTTGATCAAATTGGTTATGGCACCGATATGTGGTCAGTGGGCGTCATATGCTACGTTCTGTAAGTGTGAAGCAAATTTTAAACTTAAAGTACTAAAATGTCTAAACGTTGAAATGTGAAAAACGTTTTGCGTGTTTTTCGACACGGTGGAGCGTGTAATTGAATATCAACGCTCGCCAAAACTAATTTATCCACACCGCCGCACTCATAAATCCCTACAAACATGTATGACATGGCGGACATTTTGTTTAGACGTTTTATAACTCGATCAGCGTAAACACCAGCGTGAAATCTCGATCAAGTTCATTTTTATCATAATATTTGCATGCTGTTACACCATAGGCAACCCAAATAACACGTTTTTAATGACCGCTATGAGATTTTTCTACTCATTCATAAATGATGTTTTTGATGGTACGCCAGCGTGATTTTCGCGATCGGAATGCGTGATTTCGGCCGCTAAATTTATTATAGCGTAACGAGCGTAACGCGGTGTAACCTATAACCTCAAAAATAACACACTCACATCAAACGCGGCCGGAAATAGCTGCGACCGAATTACGCCTCGGACACATTCATTACGCGCATTGCACCTTCGTGCGGCCATCTTGAATTTATGAATAAATAGATATATTGATGTTACGAAAGCGTTGTTAATTGGTTATGCTAGGTAAGTTTGCTGCTGTTGGGCAATCGGGAATCGGTTTTGCTTGTGTCTACAAGTCTACATATTAATGTGAGGGCACATCATCTAAGCGAGCCTTGACGTCGTGCCAGGAATGCACGTCTCGCCTTGATGAAAACATGTATTTATTATTACGTTTCCAACCGGCCACAATGACGAAACATACAGTGTGTATCAACCAGTTAAAATCATTTAATTACAAAATAATGAATATTTTTTTATAAAAATCTTAAAACACTCTGTATATTACTATTTTATGAGTATATTTGAATGTGTGTGTTTGGTACCGGGCCAAATAACTCTCCAAGACAAGGAAAACGAACGGAACAAGTGAACAACAGTCGGTTTTTCAATTAATCAGGATTAATTGCGTGTATTTATAGGTTAGGTCGATAAATTTTCATGAAAATGACCTGATTATTGACATAAAACGTAATATATAACCAAACTTTTACTAATATAACCTATAAATACATTTTTTAGTAATATTACGTCATTAAACACTGTAAATGTTTTTAGGTTATCCGGATTATCACCGTTTATGGGCCACACGGATTGTGAAACCATGGCGAATGTCACAATAGCGAAATATGACTTTGACGATGAAGCTTTCGAGGATATCAGTGAGGGAGCAAAGGATTTCATCAAAAAACTACTCCTGAAAGATATAAGGTGAGTTTTTTGAGGTTAAGTAAAGTGATTAACCTTTAAAATGTCAATAAATGCGTAAATAATGTTAAGTAAAACAAAAATTACTCAAAAATATATAAAAATGGAAGAAGATTATAAGCAAAGACCCAAAATTAGTATCAGTAACACCTAACATAACCTAACATAACCTAACTTTATCTCAAAAACATTTAAAACTAATTTTTATATATTTTAACACTATATGTGTCATGAAAACGAACTAATTTGGGTTTCTTGTTTTGTATCTTGTACTTTCTTCCAACTTATTCTCATTATGATATAAAATTAATAATAATAATAATAATAACGAATGTTTGCTGTACTAATCAATCATAGAATTTCTGTTTTATCGACATAATGATCATACTGGGTCTTTGCTTGTAATTCTCATTCCAGTGCTCGAATGACCGCCGAAGAGTGCCTGAAACACGCATGGCTCAAACGCAAACCGCCACCTTCGCCGCCCCCGGTCGCCATTGCATCCACACCCAATTCAATGGAGGTAACCAAAGATAACCTCAAACAATTCGTGGAGCGTTGGAACGAACATCCGAATTCGCCGTATGTCTTCGAGATGACGTGTGATTTACGCCGCAACAGCTCACTGAGATCATTATCAGGACTTTCGCCATCACCCTGTGGATCCATAGCATCTTCTGACTCTGATATGCAATCATCACTAATGGGGGAACATTTACACTTAAATTTACCATTGCCACCTATGGATCACTTACGCAGAGCTTCCGATAGTACAGGAATCGTTAAAAATGACGTTTCGGAGAAAGTTAACCTAGCGGAGGAAATCAGAAAACTGTCGGATAAATTATTTCAGTTATCTACATTACCGACATTACCGATAGAACCTGTAAAAGTAGAAAAACCCCTGGATGTGCCACAGATGAAACTCATCAATAACATAACCTCAAAAATTGATCAGGATACGAGTAAAATTTATCATTCCACGAGTAAAACTCAACCAATCAGCATACGTAAAGCATCGCTGGATGCACCATGGCGTACCAGGACTAAATTTCGCGTCACTGAGTTGAATCGTGACGTGCCACGCAATGCGAATACTTCTCCAGTCAAGTTAAACAGTTCGCCATCTTTTAAGGAATCGTTTAACTCGAAATTGACGCAGTTTGAACGTCAGACTGTAGATCAGAGCACGTCAAACAGTCCGGATGGTACTAAAAATCTGTTATTGAAGTTATTGGAGCATTGGGATGATTCGCAGTTGCCTCCGGCAGGTGGCAGGCCCAAATCACATTCGATTACTGATTGGGGTGAAGGAGATAGTCTGGGACAAAGAACAATCAGCTCTTTGAATACTTTTTTTCAATCGAGAGCGAGTAACAAGATAACGACGTTTCATAAAACTGAAACAATTCAACATTCACCATAAAAATATTAATATACTTATTCAACGTATATATTAGTTAGGTTAGGTTAGGTTATGTTTATAAACGCGCCCATATTGCTTTTGTTTCGCATTTTTTCTTTTGGTTAATGATAATTTGCTGTATCTATGCTAGAATTGATGAATATTATGATGTTTAGTTTATTTTCTTATGGTTTTTATTATGATTTTGGTTGTTTTGTTGTGTTTAGTCAACGATTAACAGCGGAGCAATCAATGGAGCATCCATGGATGAGGCCGAGCACAGTTCACAGCGATCAGGAGCTGAGCAAGAGCAAGCTGAAGCGATACGTGATCAAAAAGAGGTGGATCAAAGCTGTCAATACGATTATCGCCCTGCAGCGGATGGGGGCGAAGATTGATGCGAGGCTTATTTGATTTTTTTGTTGATTTCGGTATTAATTGCGCGTTAATTTCATTAAAAATACCTAACTTATCGATTTAATACTATCTATTATCAGATATGTATATTAATATTACTATGATTATAGAATAAATAATAATAAATGTTTTTCTGGATGTATTTAGGAAGAAATTTGATCAGAAATGTTTTAAAAGTCATTTTAACTTCTTGATTTTTGTGATGTATCCTGCAGGAGTTACAGTTTATAAATTCGATTGTAGATGGCGCGTCATGTACGATTCCTGCAATATTTTGCTCAAAATATTTTAGAAAGCTCTGAAATTCGCAAATTATTGTACTTATACGTTTAAATTCCAAATAATATTGTCATATCTACAATTGAAAATTTATTAAAATTAGTATTCATTATAAATAACTATTAATATATTGTATTTAATTTATTTATTGGATTACTTTTCTGATGTTTTGATTGCGCTGCAGTACAAGCTCCGGTAGCCGTGATCGTCTAGTGGTTAGGACCCTACGTTGTGGCCGTAGTAACCCAGGTTCGAATCCTGGTCACGGCAATGTGTAAAAACATTGTCACGGCGGAGCGTTTCTTTTGAAATTTTATTAATTAAAAAGTATAATTTGCAATTGACCTTCGCTTAATATTTCCTTGAAGAGTAATAAAGCCGAAACTAGTTTTAGCGCTTCCAACTAACCTTGTTAATTTATTTTTATTTCTGTGGAATAACGGAGATGTATCAATCTACAGATGATACAAAATATTTCTTATAAAATTAAAATAAATAATATTAAAAAGTAATATTATACTTGTTTAATATTAAAAATACTATAAAAAGATTTTTAAGCAAATTCTACAAGTAAAATGAAAGTTTTTGATGATATTTTAATGTATTATAACTGTTACTTCATGTAATCGCTTGGTATAAGTTCACATCACGACAAAAAACTTAACAAATAAGCACAGCGTAATCTGCACTCGGAGATTCGTATCCTGCGATTCATTTGCGCGTGTTCCCTGTGAGTTTAAACAAGTTTTATCGAACAAAATGCGTGCGTCTTTTCTTTTGGTAACTTTCGCTTTATTTTTGGCAGTGGAAGCTGCTAAATTACCCAGTGAAAAGTCAACATCTACGTGTACATGTGTAGCGCATGACGAGTGCGATAATTTCGCTAAAAGTGACATCATGTAAGTCTATTAATACCCAAACATATTTTTATAAATTCTGTTAATGTTCTTTTTAGAAGCACGACATGTCAAAGCTTTTTAGACGTTTGCTGCGAACCAGGACACATGATTGCTAAAGATCAAGGAGAAAAAGGGAGTGAAACCACAACAAAAGCAGATGCTGCACAAGAAAGAGTTGTTTTTGTTGATTAATTAATGAAATTATTAATGTTTGTTGAGTGTATATATGATTGCATACGTTATATATTAATCTTCAAAAGAAAAAACGTGTATGTTGGGTTGCCTACGTTAAAACATGAATTTTTACCTAAAAACTTTTTTTGCACGGAAATAAAATATAAAGACTTATAATAACATAAGTACATAATATTTTAGCCAAATAAATACTAAAATACCATAAATAATTAGAGTTTGTTTGTGTTATGCCGATATGGGCGAATAACCACTTACAAATTACTTTTAACGACCGCTATTAAACATGTCTACTAGAATATAAATAAAAAAACGATAATAACTATTTATTACGGTCCAATGACCGCACACATATTAATCTCCTCTCTTCCTATATAAATACAAGACATAAATATTCCATAATTATTCATATCTTATCAGAAAACCCAAAATATCATCAATTTTTGCATGAAAATCGATTTCTTCGAACTAGTGCATGACGTATTTCACACGATGTCGAAACATCCCGCACAAATCAATGTTTGTTATAATACACTTGGAATTAGCGTTGACCGGCGACCGGAGTCACGCAAACCAAAGCTAATAAAGTTAATCTCATTCGGCATTCGACATCCATCTCCTCGCTCGCCTCGCGCTTGACCATCGTCCGCGGTTGTTGTGTGCGCACAGTTCGCAGTTCAATCCACCACACACCGCATCGCAAACCACAACAACTTTACGCTATCCGACGATCGCAACCTTGCTAGACACGGACGTGAGTTACCTGTGCAGTTACCTGCTCCCACAACAGGTATATATCTTCGTTCGGCGTTAATTGTTCACTAGACGCGTTGCAAACGCGCAAGAAACTGGTTTCTGCACTGCAATACTTCATAACAACTGGTTTTGGTTGGTTTTGTTTGTTTACTCGCAGACCTGGTGATTCCGATATTGTATTGACAGTTCTTCGTGTGCTGTCAGTGCGGCAAGACCTACCAACGGACACGATGCGTCTCCAGGTTGTGATTTTCATTGGTTTAGCGTTGGTTACGCTGGGAACCGCGCAGAGTATTGATGAAGTTTTTGATCAGAAGAATCAAGACGCTGGAAATGCTGGAACACCTGGACCTACAATTCAAGGAAATTCAGGGACGGAATCAACTTGTACCTGCGTTCCATACTATCAATGCAATAATAATAATACCATCAATACAGATGGTAATGGGTTGATTGACATCAGGTATCACCTTTTAACCCTTAAAATTCAAAATTTACCAAAAAAATTAAAATACGTTTTTTGTTTTGAATAGGTTGAAAAATGAAGACTGTGCTGATTATTTAGAGGTCTGTTGCAAAGCCCCTGTGAAAGTAGACCCTGACCACCCCATCACCCCAAAACCCCCAATCAATAAACCCACAGGTTGCGGCAGTAGGAACCCCGAAGGTGTAGGTTTCCGCATCACTGGAGGCAATGAAGAAGCGCAATTCGCTGAATTCCCCTGGATGGTCGCAGTTCTCCGTGAGGAGACCATCGAAGGCAATCCCAACAAACTCAATGTTTACCAATGTGGTGGTGCATTGATCCATCCATCAGTTGTCCTCACCGCTGCGCACTGCGCGACCGGAAAAGATAAAAAATTCAAGATTCGTGCAGGTGAATGGGATACGCAGACCAAAAACGAGATCCTGCCTCATCAGGACCGCGATGTAAAACAGGTCATTGTTCATAAAGACTACTACGCAGGCGCACTATTCAATGATATCGCTTTGATGTTCTTACAAGAACCTGTTACTATTGATGGTAATGTTGATGTAGTCTGCGTGCCACCCCAGGGCCTTATCCTGGACAGCAGTAGATGCTTCGCTAGTGGTTGGGGTAAAGATGTTTTTGGAAAAGAAGGGAAATATCAGGTTATCTTGAAAAAAATTGAACTCCCCATTGTAAATCGTGATGCCTGTCAAGAAAAACTTAGAAATACTCGATTGGGTGCACATTTCCAATTGCATAAGAGTTTCATCTGTGCTGGAGGACATGGGAAGGACACATGCCGTGGAGATGGTGGTTCTCCTCTTGTTTGCCCTGTTCCTGGACATGATGATAGATACGTGCAAGCTGGTATTGTCGCTTGGGGAATTGGATGTGGAGAGAATCAAGTTCCGGGAGTTTATGTTAATATTCCGCTGTTTAGAGACTGGATTGATGAGCAGATGAAGGCGTACGGTTACGACACCACAACGTACTCGTACTGAGATGTGTTTTGTTTACTGTGAATAACGTTTCTAATCTTTTTTTTATCAGCATAAAAATACATGAATAAATGCATATTATACGATGTATAAGATATTTTAATGAATAAAAACAGACTATGAACTGATGACCTAACCTTAATTTAACCTTTTTATCATTTGTTGACGTTTTGAGTGATTTTAAAGCAAGAAAAAAGAGGTTTAAGTACAGACCTGATTAAAATCTATAAAATAATTAAATTTTAAATCCGCATTTGTTAAATAATTAATTATTTACTGTAATTAATTATTTTTTTGTTGTAAAATTTGATTTACCAGGATATTACAATCCAATTATAATAATTATTAAATAATGAGTGGTATAATAACATTTTAATGATTTTTCTATAGTAAATTTTGTTGTATATGATTTCTATGAATTTATGAATCATAGAAAATTTTATTTTTATGGATATTTCTCATTTTTTTACACAAAAAAATATTTTTTACCTGAATTTATCTTTTTTTCTTCATAAAACCAATTTGTATTTATTTTTATTGACCGTAAACTTTGCAAACGCATATTTTATTCTCTGGTGACATTGTAGTCTGTTTATGATATGGTATTCAGTCGGTCTTGGCATCTTGACAAGCTAACACACTTTTAACTTTCGCAAGAATTCCCAGAATAGCATTTCAAGATCCATCAATAACCAAATACATACATACAACATTGACCTGCGTTCGTCACATAACGCCGACTTGGAATCTCCAGCTTTACAACACGACCAGACAAGGAAAAACCCAAAATCAAGGTAAAAACACTTAATATTCATTTGAAATTTAAAAATTTTAACTTATTTCACCAATTAATCTAAACAATCTAAAAATATATTTTTGTTTATATTTTGTTATATAAACAATGTCACCACGTCTAAACAAATAAAATACAAAAACTAACTCAAGGTAAATTGATTAGTGATCAGTTCACGTCCGATTAACTCTCAAAAAAACATCAAAAGTTCAATTAAAACTTGATAACAATAAAGTTAAAATTAATTTAATGATGAACAGTTTTGATTCTCACGCTGCACGGTACATGTAACATTGTTAAACGATGCGAGAAGGAAAACGAGTTTGTTTTCAGTCGTTGTCGTTGTTAATCCGCCGAATACACACAAAACAGCAACAATTCCGTGTGCAAGGACGTCCAGTCCACAACGATCTGCTACTTACGTCGTGATATAAGCGATAATTGGCGTAGAATAAGATTTCTTATTTATGTAACGCGTTTAACCGCATTTAAACACAATTTTTGAATAATTTATTGTCGATAATTACCAATACGCGTTGAAAAATTATTTATCTGCCTTTTAATCGTAATTTGTTTATAATTAAGACTAATTCCTGGAATGATATATTAATTACTATAGATTACAACACCTTGAGGCTATTATTTCGTCTGGAATATTCCTAATATTCAGGATAAACATGATTTTGTTATTGTGGTTATTAATTGGTTCAGCTGGGTATTTAGCAACTGCTCAAACCGGTCTTAATGTTTAATTATACACAGAAGTGGATTTAAATACGAAAATAATAAATTTATACGTATATTATATTAATATGCATGTTTGGTTGCATATATTCAGGCGTATATCGCGTGTAAACTAATAAATTTGAAGGTTATATGTAATTGGCTTTCTAATAATTTAAAAGATTCAATTATTGCGTGTTTTAGTGGGGAATACCAAATCACGCGAATGAAGCTTTGCCTCTGTAGATAAGTTTGGATAAAAATTAACAGTGAGCAGTCGACCGCGGCGACCGACAGCTATCATAATTAAAATCGCCAATTCAAATTCAGCGCGCGTCAACGCCACCAGCGCCAATAGCCGGTTGTAAACAACGACCCAACTTCCAACGTCGCCGACTTGCTGCTTGCCCACAACAAATTCGATCATTCGTAAATAAGTTGTTGCAGCATGAAGACGTCGTACCTGACTGTGTGGGTCGTGCTGGTGGCATTAGTGCCATTCGGCGCCAGAGGTCAGCAACGCTCCGACGCTGAATTGGAAGCCGCCATACGTGACATCTTCACCACTCCAAGCACTTCTTTTTTGAGTGATTTTGGTGAGGTGGTCACGCCGAAACCCGCAGAGAGTTTCGGAGCTGTTGAAAGATGTGGTGAAGGAGCTGATGCTGGTGTACACGCATGCGTACCGTATTATAATTGTGATGGTACCACTAGGACCATCATCCAGACTGGGTCAACTGATGGTTTTGGTATTATTGACATCAGGTACGTTGATATTTTTAATATTTAACTAAAAATTAATAAATTTTTGTTTAATTTAGGCTTGGACAGAGTGCCTGTGACCATTTCTTGGATGTTTGTTGTGGTATACCGAAAGATGGCATCCCTCCAGAGATTACCACACAGAAACCGGTTGTGGATCCAAAGGAACCTGTTGTTTCTTCTACTATTCCTCCGGTGACACCTGGCAGAGGCAATTTCTGTGGAATAAGAAATAATAACGGTATTGATTTCAAAATTATTGGTAACAAGGACAATGAGGCGGAATACGCGGAGTTCCCATGGATGATTGAGATCCTCTTGAGGCAACCCAATGGTTTAGTCCAGGCTATTTGTGGTGCGGCGTTGATCACACCAAATGTCGTCATTACAGGAGGACACTGCGTTAATAAGTAAATTATTTTCACATTTAAAACAAAACATAACCTAAAATTATTATTTTTTAAATTAGGGTTAAGACCACAGATATTTTCATCCGTGCAGGAGAATGGGACACACAAACCACCAGAGAAAGGGTACCATATCAAGAACGCGATATCTCTGATATTATTATTCATCCTGAATTTAACCCCAAGACTGTTTTTAATAACGTCGCGTTGTTGATCTTGAGTAGACCTTTGAAAAAAGCTGATAATATAGGTACTATTTGCTTACCACCTCCGGGATTGGTCAATAATGCCCAGGAATGTTTCGTTACTGGTTGGGGCAAGTCCATGTTCGGTTCCCAGAGTGCCCCATCGGTGATTCTGAAGAAGATTCGCGTCCCAATGGTGCCATTTAATGAATGTCAAAGAGCCTTGCGTACAACCCGCTTGGGGGCGCTGTTTAACTTACATGATTCTTTTGTTTGCGCTGGAGGCAAACAAGGACAAGATGCTTGTACTGTAAGTAACATTACTTAAGTTAATAATTAGTAATTTAATATGATAATAAAATTTAATTTACAGGGTGATGGTGGTGGTCCATTAGTGTGTCCGGATCCAAACAACCCCAAACGTTATCAACTTACCGGTATTGTATCATGGGGTATTGGATGCGGAGAAAATGGCGTACCAGGGGTTTATGCAGATGTTGCCAAATTCCGAGATTGGGTTGATGGTGAAATGGGCAAACAATTTTTGGATACGAAACCCTATACTGTGTAATTTTGTGTAGGCTGTGATTGTAGTTGCTAGTTAAGACCAACATGACATTCTGACATATTTTGTATGCGCTCGCGCACTATTCACACTCGACTGAATCATTACATGTTTTTAATAATAAATAAATATGATGAGCTAACTTTCAATAAATACGATTTTTTAATTATAATCAATTCTTGTGTCTTCTTTTGCTTTTATCTGCAATTATTGGCCTTTGTTCTGTTCTTGCATTGATATTGCTTGTTTATAGCTTGTCACTCTTTCTTTTCTTTGGTTTTTATGTAGTTTTCAATTCTTTGGTGACTTATCTCTAATTATTCTATTATTTTCTATTATTCTTTTATCCTCTGATGATGCCCACAGGGCGAAACATGTAAAACTCGCAAACAAAACTGTAAAATCCAAGAAAATCACAAATTATATTAATAAATATATTTTATATATTCTAATTATTCTCTTGAATATCTTCTGATTTTTTGTGAATTCACTCATTGATGTTCTATGTATTACACTCTGCTTTTGAATGTTGATATTTTATTACTTGTGTTGCTGTGAGTGTACACTGGGTTGCCTATGTTATTCTGGGAAAACCCAAATAAAAATTCTTAAAAGGCTCATGAAAGGCCAGAAGATAAATGATAAATATTTTTTATAGATTTGTGTCCGTTTCTCTTATCACTTATTATAAATACTTCATACCCTCATTAAACAAGATCAAACTTCACCATGTCGCTTCTACAAGTATCAACGCTTTTGCTCTCTGTAATAATAAGCCTTCATTCTGCAATATTGAATTCACCAAACGAAATAGTGGATAGAAATATCGCAGAAGTATTTGGCAAACATGTGTGCGTGCCTTATCATCAATGCGATCCTGAGACAAACGAAATTCTTACCCAGGGAGTGGCCGAAGGCAAAATCATAACTATAATACCAAGGTATAAAAAAACCACACATCTGAAATAATATATTAGACTTACACTCAATTCAGATTAGGTGATGACAAATGTTCGGATCATTTGCATAAATATTGCAAAGTTCCACCAAATTTTGATCCTGATAATCAAATACCACCTCCGGAAAAACATAAAGCAACGAAACTTAATTATTGTGGCATACACAAGAGAGACGGGGTTGGTATTCAAGTTACATCAAAAGATAAACACCTTAGGGAGACCATGGCGCAGTTTGGTGAATTTCCATGGATGTTGGGCATTTTGCCACTTAATGCCACTCCTAAAGCAGAAATACTCTGTGGAGCGTCATTGATAGCGCCAAATGTAGCAATATCAGCGGCACACTGCTTCAAAGAGTAAGTATTACATAACCTTACTTCTAATCCTCACAAATATTACAAATATTTTAATATTTCCAACAGATATAAAGCTGAAAATATAAAAGTACGCGCTGGTGAATGGGAATTATATTCTATACTAGAAAGTATACCATTTCAAGAGAGTGAAGTTTCCAAAATTATTATTCATCCTCAATATAACAAAGTCAATTTAAATTATGACGTGGCACTGGTAATTCTTAAAACTGAGTTTAAATTTTATAAAAACGTTGCTACTATATGTCTACCAACGCAGGACAATTTTATACTGTCATCTGCATGTTTTGTAAATGGTTGGGGAAAGAAGCAATTGACCGACAAACAAAATACGAAAATTTTGAAAAAACTGAAGCTCCCAACGGTTTCATCTGTTGATTGTCAACAGGCTTATAGAACCACACAGCTTGGTTATTATTTCATGTTACACGATACTTTTATTTGTGCTGGAGGAGATGAAAATGTTGATTGTTGCATTGTAAGTTTAAATTATTTGTTTTTATGGACATTTTTAGTGCATTTTATGTTTTGTAGGGCGATGGTGGTGGTCCTTTAGTCTGTCCTGATCCTAATAATAATGGCAGGTATGTATTAACAGGAATTGTATCTTGGGGAATCGACTGTGGCTTGGAAGATATTCCTGGAGTGTATGCAAACGTTGCTAAATTCAGATATTGGATCGACAAAACCTTTAAAGATGAAAACCTAAATTCGTCTTATTATATTGTGTAATGTTGGTTGCCTATGTTAAAACATAGTAAGCGTAATATTCACGGTGGTGATGTACTGAACTAACACAACGCGTCTAACAGCTGATCGCAAATATTTTAAAAAATATAATTTCAATTCATTGAATAATGTTTAAATAATACATTTGTTACATTTAAAGTTACTTATATCATCAAATAATGGTAAATTCAACTACTTTTTAACATAAATTGTATTTTTCACCTCAATCTGTTTTAATTAAATCACTGTCAAACAAAAGTGAAAACATATTGCGTAAATAAAGTTGCCTACATTCACAAAAAAAATAAACCCTAGTATTTTTTCAACTTATCTAATTAGCGCGCAATTAAGGGATTAACAAATAAATCTATTAACGTGCATTAAAGAATTACCCAAACAAATCGTGCCCATCGCAATGAATCCCAATCTCATTCCGCTTCGCGCGCAGTTTCGTTTTCATTCCGCCGCTTGCGACCTGCGTTCGTTTTCATCGTGCACCCCCACTCGCCTCACCGATCATACCCGAAGCCGCCGTGCCGAGCGAACGCAGCAGTCGCGCTGCTCGCACCGATCGTGACGTCATATAATTAGAGTAAATACAAAGTAGACGAGCGCGGCGATGGTGTGTTCGGGAGCGTGCGTCCGATGTTGTACTAGTGCAGTGTTTTATTAATAAAATAAAATATACACACATATATACAATACGTATATTAATAAGCAGCGTCATTGCGCGTTCCGTCGCTGTCGGACTACAACGTGCGTGCGTGTGTGTGCGTTCAATTCGTGTGCGTGAGTGTGACGAAAATAAAAAATATTTGAAAAATTTTGCGCATTTTAAACAAATCATGCCAGCGTCGAGACGCATCGGCCGCCGTCGTGCGAATCAAACACATACAATGGATACATTTCGGTTCAATTAAAACGCGTGCGTGTGAGTTGTTTTTCCCTGGGTTAAGTGCCGAATTTTAGGATTACTGTGTTGCCATCAGTTCGTCATGGATAATCACTATGTGCAGGTAAATTATATTAAATTTATTTTGCGTTATTTTCATTGAATTTCAACAAATAACACGGGCGCATAATCAAAACAACACAATCTAATCTAAACGAAAAGAAATACAGTGTGGTTGTGTGCGTCTGTGTGAATTAGTAAGTAAAAAAAGCGAAAATATCGAAATCGAAATAAACAGCCTTTTATAATAAACCTTCGCGTTTGTGTCGACAGTCGACGCTGTGCCTCTCTGTTGCACTTACAGCTGTGTGTATATATTGCACTCACTCTATTTGTATATCCGTCCTGCTTCTTTGCCTCTCTTTGCTTCTCTTTCGCTTTTCGACCACGACGACGACGACGACGTTTCCGATAAATATACATATAAAATATCAGCTTTTCTATGTGTAATGTGTAATTTTCGAAAATTATACAAAGTGATCCAAAATTATCAACTCGACGATGATTTATAACGACTGTGTATATCTATTCACACATTATGACTAATCGTAATTTCTGCATGTTCAACCGTTTTTCCGTGGTTGTGACGACGCGATGTTATCTTCTTCTAGCTTATATCGGCGATGCGATTTTGTTTCGCGTTGCATATTCGAATTATAAATAAATTTAAATTTAAAAACTGCAACGTGATAACTCGACTTTAAACACGTTCACCGATCAATTAGATACAAAATACATTTCGCTTCCTTTTGACATTATTTTAACTAAAGGTTTAAATAAAATTTTGAAAAAAGAAAATTTAAAAATCGCGTATAAAAACACCAGTAACATTAAAGAATTACTAGGTAATCCGAAAGATAAAGAGGAAACGTTTTAAAGTCGGGTATTTACAAAATTAAATGCGGATGTTGTGACTCACAATATATTGGTCAAACGAAAAGGTCAATTTTAACTCGTTTTAAAGAACACATCGCGCATTTTAAATACAATAGATTCGAAAAGTCCGCAGTAGCCCAACATATTAAAGAGTCAGAACATCCCATCCGACAAGAAAATTTATTCTTGGTAAAATCTATTACCAATCAAAGACAATTAGATGCCTATGAAAGCATAGAAATTTTAAAACATAAGAACAAACATCTTCTTAATCAAGAAAACGGGCCAATTTCTTCAAGTTTATTTGAGTTAATTGTTTAATATTTTTCAAAAATACCTAGTTGTCGAATACTTGGAAATAGATTTTACTGCAATATTTTTGCTAGGGAGTGGGGGTAAAAGATTAATTAGGGTATTATGAATTTATAGGTTTTATTAGAAAAACATTTTTAGGGAGTGGGGGTAAAGGATTAAACAGGGGATTAAGAATTTTTAGGTAAATTAGGGATTAGACGCAATTTTAGTTCAGTTTTATAATTCCTTCGCCTGAAGAGGAAGGCTTAGCCTTCGAAATGCGCATCGCGACATTAAAGTTATTTGTGAGACGGGGTTTTTAAACTTCCTATTAGTATTTGTTTACTCACAGTGCATCAAGTAGTGTAAAACCTCAATATAACAAAATAAATTTAAATTATGACGTGGCACTGTTAATTCTTAAAACGGAGTTTAAATTTTATAAGAACGTAGCTACTATATGTCTACCAACGCAGGACAATTTTATACTGTCATCTGAATGTTTTGTAAATGGTTGGGGAAAGAAGCAATTGACCGACAAACAAAATACCAAAATTTTGAAAAAACTGAAGCTCCCAACGCTTTCATCTGTTGATTGTCAACAGGCTTATAGAACCACACAGCTTGGTTATTATTTCATGTTACATGATACTTTTATTTGTGCTGGAGGAGATGAAAATGTCGATTGTTGCATTGTAAGTGTATTATTCTTATTTTTATTGACATTTTTAATGAATTTTATGTTTTACAGGGCGATGGTGGTGGTCCTTTAGTCTGTCCTGATCCTAATAATAATGGCAGGTATGTATTAACAGGAATTGTATCTTGGGGAATCGACTGTGGCTTGGAAGATATTCCTGGAGTGTATGCAAACGTTGCTAAATTCAGATATTGGATCGACAAAACCTTTAAAGATGAAAACCTAAATTCGTCTTATTATATTGTGTAAAGTTGGTTGCCTATGTTAAAACATAGTAAACGTAATATTCACGGTGGTGATGTACTGAACTAACACAACGCGTCTAACAGCTGATCGGAAATATATTTAAAAATATAATATCAATTCATTGAATAATGTTTAAATAATACATTTGTTACATTTAAAGTTACTTATATCATCAAATAATGGTAAATTCAACTACTTTTTAACATAAATTGTATTTTTAAACTCAATCTGTTTTAATTAAATCAGTGTCAAACAAAAGTGAAAACAAATTGCGTAAATAAAGTTGCCTACATCACAAAAAAAATAAACCATAGTATTTTTTCAACTTATCTAATTAGCGCGCAATTAAGGGATTAACAAATAAATCTATTAACGTGCATTAAAGAATTACCCAAACAAATCGTGCCCATCGCAATGAATCCCAATCTCATTCCGCTTCGCGCGCAGTTTCGTTTTCATTCCGCCGCTTGCGACCTGCGTTCGTTTTCATCGTGCACCCCCACTCGCCTCACCGATCATACCCGAAGCCGCCGTGCCGAGCGAACGCAGCAGTCGCGCTGCTCGCACCGATCGTGACGTCATATAATTAGAGTAAATACAAAGTAGACGAGCGCGGCGATGGTGTGTTCGGGAGCGTGCGTCCGATGTTGTACTAGTGCAGTGTTTTATTAATAAAATAAAATATACACACATATATATACAATACGTATATTAATAAGCAGCGTCATTGCGCGTTCCGTCGCTGTCGGACTACAACGTGCGTGTCTGTGTGTGTATGTTCAATTCGTGTGCGTGTGTGTGACGAAAATAAAAAATATTTGAAAAATTTTGCGCATTTTAAAACAAATCATGCCAGCGTCGAGACGCATCGGCCGCCGTCGTGCGAATCAAACACATACAATGGATACATTTCGGTTCAATTAAAACGCGTGCGTGTGAGTTGTTTTTCCCTGGGTTAAGTGCCGAATTTTAGGATTACTGTGTTGCCATCAGTTCGTCATGGATAATCACTATGTGCAGGTAAATTATATTAAATTTATTTTGCGTTATTTGCATTGAATTTCAACAAATAACACGGCTGGATAATCAAAACAACACAATCTAATCGAAACGAAAAGAAATACAGTGTGGTTGTGTGCGTCTGTGTGAATTAGTAAGTAAAAAAAGCGAAAATATCGAAATCGAAATAAACAGCCTTTTATAATAAACCTTCGCGTTTGTGTCGATAGTCGACGCTGTGCTTCTCTGTTGCACGCACAGCTGTGTGTATATATTGCACTCACTCTATTTGTATATCCGTCCTGCTTCTTTGCCTCTCTTTGCTTCTCTTTCGCTTTTCGACCACGACGACGACGACGACGTTTCCGATAAATATACATATAAAATATCAGCTTTTCTATGTGTAATGTGTAATTTTCGAAAATTATACAAAGTGATCCAAAATTATCAACTCGACGATGATTTATAACGACTGTGTATATCTATTCACACATTATGACTAATCGTAATTTCTGCATGTTCAACCGTTTTTCCGTGGTTGTGACGACGCGATGTTATCTTCTTCTAGCTTATATCGGCGATGCGATTTTGTTTCGCGTTGCATATTCGCTCTGCATTTGTTTCTCTCACTTCTATTCGCTGCGAGTGTTTGCGTTGCGTTTACAAAAGCGTGTGATTTGCTTGAAACACACACACACACACAGAGCGCACACATATAGAAGTTATCTTTATCGCACTCATGGTGAGTTGTATTAGTTTGTCTCTTTTTTTAATACTCGTGCGTTTTCGTGGCCCGTCGCGCAAGCGGATAGACAGGCGGACGACGTAATGAATATAAACATGTAAAATGTAAAAGATGCCTTCTGCGTTTTGTCGCTTTTTCTCGTGAACAAAACGCGCAGCGCTTTTTTTCTTTCACTAAATTAAACCGAATTTAGTGAAATTTACATTTTTAAATGTGTTTATTATACTAAACAAATTTTACAACCACCAATATTATACATTTTTAGAATTCACATTAATAAAATTAACAAAAACAAAATGGCGGATTTAAATTAAAAAAAAAATTAAACATAAAACATACCAGCATCTTATCTAATTTAAACCAGCGTCATTATCATAATTGAAATTATCATTAAATACACACACACACACGACAAATGGATTTAATACAGAGTGTTGCGAACTTCCGGTGAAATTCTATTAAAAAAAGAATTAATAATAATAAGAAGCTGTTAAGTGTCAATGAGTAATCTGAAAATATTTAGATGATTGTGCAGTTGTGTCGAGGTTGGCGATGTGTGCGTGTAGCGTAATGTATTCTATTATTAAAATATTATTTTATTAAACGCGCTGCGCGTCGAGTCGACCCGCAACTCAGCTCAACTCAACCGCGCGCTGAGTGGATAGTCACTCACACACGCGCACATGCGTAGTGCACATTTACATCAGCATGTTGGCGATGGTGATTTAACGATTTATTCATGAGGATGACATAGAAATATGTATAATGTATACAATAACACATTTATTTTTATATTCTAATATGTAATAGCAGTTTTTTTTTCGAGTTTTTATTGAAGTTTTATAGATTTTATAAATTTAATTGTATTTAACATAAAAAATAATCAAATTTTTGATTTTACACGGATTGGTATTTGTTTAATCTTTTGTTGTGTTGGTTATAAACTTAATTATTCTTGGGAAAATACCGGTAAATATTTCCTGAAGTCTAAATATGAATTCCGCGTCGCTCAGTTGTATTCACTTGTGTTATGTTTAAATGATTTTGTTGTAACGTAACGTGTACCCCAACAAATTAGATGAAAAATCGTGCTTAAGTTATAGAAATTTGCATTGCAATTTGTAGGAATGTTGGGATCATAATTACAACAATATTTCAAATGTTACCATCGATGTCATGTCTTTGAAAAAATATTCTAGCTCATAATTGCTAGAAATTAAAATATTTTTCGTAGTTACACAGAGGAAATTAATAAATTAATAATTTTTAGTAAAAATTTAGTGAAAATATTATTAAAATAGACGAAAAAAGCGAAATTTTATTGATAAATTATTATATTGTTACTAAAATTGCATCAGTACGTTATTTTTAGTCAATTTTGTTGAGTGTTTGATAAATTTAATAAAAAATCACTTAGCATATAATTAGTATTGTCGTTCGTAATCATATGACTTCTATAGTCATATGTGACAATACTAATGCTTGTACTACTACTAATAGTATAGTCGCTCGTGGTCATATGATTTCTATAGGTATATGTGACAGAACCCACTAGTGCTAATACTAGTATTAATAGTATTGTCGCTTATGGTCATATAATTTCAATAGATTGATGTGACAATACTTATATATACGTTACACAGAGCAGCTGCACGCATTTCTCCGTAATATGGATTACTGTCGTTAAATCGAGGTTAAACTAAATTTTATTTTTATTTTTATTTTAAAGCGAATTTAATTTCATGTCGGCTTAACTTTGAAATTTAAATCAACATTGTGCATTGTGTAGGCGCTCGCAGAAAGACGAAAACATCGCCTTGTTTATTTATAATAATTAGTTTGTTTGTTTGTATGCGCTGCGGCGAGTTTTGTTTGCTTTTTGATTCGATAAACGCGAAGCAGCGTTTTTATTCGTCGCGTTTGCGTATGTGCGGCGAGTGACGACGGAAATATACGGAGGTAAAAATAGTCACGGATTTTGCAATATTGGCGGAAATTTTGAAATCATAATATATAAACATATTTATTATTATTTATTTTATGTGTTTTATTTGGTTAATGATTTTATTGTGATTGTGATTTATTATATATTTTATTTTATTATTGGGTGAAATAAATTAGTTGAGTTTATTTATGCTGGTATCAGTTCAGTATCAATATGAGTAATATAATAATGAACAATTGGGACGTGATTACAAATTATAAATATTAAATGTAGTAATGTGTGGGTAATGTGAGTATGTATGGATGTGGTACTTGTTTTCGACGTTGAATATGTTGGTTTATGATGCAATAAAGTCGAGAAGTATACTTGTGGCGTGAGAATGATATCTATATTTTATTTATTATTAGTTTTTTGGGAATTACTCGTAAAATAATTTAATAATAATTTTTTTATAGAAATTGATTCATTATTTATTCCTGAATTTATTTATGAACGAATTTTGGTGAAAACTATTTCCAATCAAGAGTAATTAAAATAATAATTTTTTTAACAAATTTTTTTCAGAATACAGTAGAATCCGTTTATTATGACTCCGCTTATATTGACCAACCGGTTATTATGACGTAACTACACTACCAAGTTTGGTTTTCATATAAAATTCTGTATAAAAAAAGTCGGATATAATGACTTCGCTTACAGTGACATGTCGCTTATTATGACCCATTTTTAACAGATTATGTCCGGTTATAATGACCAACATGATTCTTTACACCTCCGGTAATGTTCGTTGATACCCGACGACGTTCGACACGTGGCGAACTTTTTATATTTATTGCTACATTTCTTTTATGATTGTCAAATTACTTTTATGTATTTACTATCGGAAAGACCAAATGCTTAAATAATAAATATAAGCATTCGGGCAGCAGCACCTTGACCACGACTTAATCCATATTTTCCATTAATCCGAATGTGACGTGGGTCATTCGACAATCTCAATGCTTTTTAAAAAACAAGAACCGCATTAAGCAATCGTTCAATTCAAATGTTTTGAAACCGAAGAGGCACAAGAAAATCACAAGAAAATTAATTAAATGAAAAAACAAAAGCAGACAAAAATTACAGATTACTTGCAGTAAAAAATACACTTGTATGTACACTTGTGTTATAATGTGCTGATTACGTGCAATTTTGATTTTGATTTAATATGTATGTATATGTACATATTTACATAAAAAAGGGTTTTCATTTCTCAAAACGCTTTGTATGACGTCCGCTTATTATGACGTGTTTGTCAATTCCCTTCGATGTCATTATAACCGGACTCTACTGTATTATACAGAATTAAATTAAAAATCTATTAACAAAACACACTTTTAACACAAATACTTTTCGAGTAATTAATTAATTTAGTTCCTATTTTATTTTGCTATTGCCACGTCTCGACAATATCTCCATACTTACTACACATATTTGTACATACTATGTGCTGAACGTTGAATATATTGCTGGTGCTTATGTAACGAGAACGAGTCCAACGCGAAATTAAACTTTAAACCAGCAACGCGCATGTTTTTGGCATTGAAAATAAATGAAACATAATTAAATGTGACTCCATACAACCAAATACAAAAATTGACACTAATTTATACAATTTATATTTTTATTTATTCTTAAATTTATTTATTTCTTATTTCTTATTCAAACAAAACAATTTATTTTCTTCGTTTTACCATTCTATATAATATACCTATTATATTGAATTTGTGCAGTTGTAATATGAAGGTTGGCAATTGTCACACGTTCGCGTCCATTGTGCAAAGTAATAGTGTCATTATAAAATCCATTTATAGCGGGCAATACCATTTAAAACTTTGATTAAATTGGAATTTTAAGACCACTTGTACTATTTTCCTATTTTACAATGAACAAATCGTTGAAATGAAATTAAAGTTGAAATAAAATTGAAAATTGAATAGAAATTGTTTAGAGAATTAATAGAATAAATAAGATGCATGTAATGTAATTAATAATTCAGATTCAGTTGAACTTTGATTCGCAGTAATCGGCAAACATGGTTGAAGTGTAGTTAACACTTCAAGTGCAAACGTATGGATTTCAATGTCATGAATTGTGGTTGACAGTCAACAAGCTCATCATGTTTAATTTAATTCCATAATGATGTATTGTTTTAAATCGTTGCTTTTGGCAATTATTTTTTGGGTATATCTTCAATGGAGGAATAATTTTAACGCTGACTTCATGACCTTCAATATTTTTGTAGTTTTATGTCGTCATGGTCATTATTTTAGGTTTTAAATATTAAATTGTATTTTGAAGTTTTATTTTTATTTATATTTTAGTAGTAAAATTAAGTTTTCAAGAAATTTTTGATTTTTTTTGGTAAAATTTGAAGAAAAAATGTTTTTTTCTCATAAATACATTTGATTTGTTGTTTAAAGTCAGTTTAGTCAGTTTATCAGTTGAGCTATTTTTATCAGCTTTATTTTCTAATTGAAGCCAATATTTTCTTTTTAATTACGTTTTTTGAGGTTAATTAGTGTTAATTCTTATTTATTCCTTTAAAACAGGGCTGGCCAATCCCAGGCCCGCGGGCCACGAGGTGGCCCGCCAGGACATTTGAATTTGCCCGCCGCACAAACCAAAGTTGGAACTTTTGTATATGTATAATATTTTATGTATGAATGGCCATAGTCTGTGGCCCGGTGCTGCCGCATTCTAAAAAAATTGGCCCTCCAGGAAAATCCATTGGCCAGCCTTGCTTTAAAACAATAAAATATTCGATTTTTTTTTTATAAAAGTTGAGAATAATCAAAGAAAATGATTTTTTTCTGGCAAATATTTGTAATTAACTGTAGAAAATCATGAAATAATTGATTTTTTTGCAGTTAGTTTAGTTAAAAACAATGTTTTTGGACTAAAATATTACAAATTAAATTAAAATCTTTGAATAAAATACAAATTTGATGAATAAATATTCAAAAAAATTAATTTCTTTGTTTTTTCTAATTTTTTAATGTTAATATTTGCAAATTAGAACAAAAATACACAATTTTGTTATCAGTTAAGTTTTTTTTCTGCTATGTATTAAGTATTAACTGATTAAGTATTAACTTTCCCGCTTTTATGATCTTTCTTACCATACAAAAACATTCTTACGTAAATCTCTATGAATGTATTCGTATGTTGTATTAATTTAATTGGCGCGACCTTGCAAAATCATGGCCGCTAATATTTCACCAGCGCGAACTTGGATTTCAAAATTTCACGTCACGCATTTAAGCATTCATTAAGCACATTAACACATTTCGAACGCCATTGTTTCATTACTAAACTAAAAATTTAATTTTTTCATTTAATTCTAAATTTATATAAAAAACCATGACATTTTAAATAGGTATCTATATCTGATTAATTATAATTATAATTATAATGAGAGTGTTGATATAGTTTTGTTAATTGTGGTTGTTTTTGTTTTTGGTGTTGCAGTTGGTGGGTGGACCATGCGGTCAGCACGGGCCGTACACATTCTACAAGGCGTTCAAGTTCGTCAAGAACGGCGAGAAGCGCATCATGACGCTGAGCGAGTTCTTCTTCGTGAAGCTCTGGATGGACTCGGATCTCGTCTGCATCGGCGAGCTGCAGTTGCTCTGGATGGACAAGAATAGTGAGCAAGTGCTCGCGAGTCTACGGCTTTACTTCCTGCCGGAGAACACGCCAGAAGGACGCATGGATCATGGAGAGGTAAATTAATACAAAAAATATTTATATTTAATTAAAAATTTTAAAATTTTTAAAGTTTTTAATCGGTGAAATTTATGCAAATGAGTGGATTTATATCAATTTCCTCGTTATTACTCTTCTTTGTACAATTTGGGTACAAAAATTACATTATTAGTCCTATGTTCGGTGTGTATACTGGAAGTCCAACAATGGACTACAAAATTTAATACAGCGTAGCCTCGATTTAACGAAAAACTCGTTATAAAAGCGAAATTTATACAATTTAGATGGTTTATATTAATTTTCTCGTTATAACATCATAGTTTCTCTGTGTAACGGCGAAAAATATTTTCATTTCTAGCAATTATGAGCTAGAATATTTTTTCAAAGACATGACATCGATGGTAACATTTGAAATATTGTTGTAATTATGATCCCAACATCCCTACAAATTGCAATGCAAATTTCTATAACTTAAGCACGATTTTTCAGCTAATTTGTTGGGGTGCACGTTACGTTACAACAAAATTCTTTAAACATAACACAAGTGAATACAACTGAGCGACGCGGAATTCATATTTAGACTTCGGGAAATATTTACCGGCATTTTTACAAGAGTAATTGAGTTTATAGCCAGCACAATAAAAGATTAAACAGTTGCCTATCCACGTAAAATTCAATATTTTGTTATATTTTTGTGTTTTATATAAAAACACAGACCACACTGTATATTAACCTAAAATTTTAATTTTTTTGAATATATTTTGACACAAAATGGCAAAAAAACATCAAATTTTCTTTTATTTGCTTAAATATTTAACAAAATTAAATTTCTTTTGTGATTTTATTTCTTTGCGCTTAAACTGCCATCACAGGACAAACTCAAAAAGTAGTTACAGACAAAGCAATACACAAACACAACACTCACTCATTGCCTGCCTTTCAACTTAAGAACTTAACTTAACTCTTAACTTAACTTTTCTCCTATCCGGCAAACGATGAACATGAAATGAACACTCTTTGACCAACGAACCGCACCAACACTGCCACATTTTACTCCCATGCGTGTGTGTGTATATAGATGTGAAAATGAGAAATGTGAAGAAGTGTCGAGTAAAGATGCAGGAGGTATTAATACATTTATAATTTTACGCACACTCGCGTCCACATTCGAATACAAACAGAGCGATATATTCATAAGTACACTGTTTCGGGATGGCTTTAAATTTAAATAGAACACATGCTGCGTCCGCACAGAGGAAGTATGAGTAATAAAAAATCCAAATAAATCAAATATACAATATTTTAACATTTGTAAAACAAAATATTTAAAAAAATTAAAATATTTATTTTTATTTTTATCATTTTTGAGTTGAAAATTATTAAAAAATGAAAAAAAAAATATAGTTTTTTTAATTTTTTGAATTAATTTTTAATTTATTTTAATTTTTTATCACTCAAAACTTCTATTGATTATTTTATTTTATAGTTTTATACTCACCCTGCATTCTAAAAGTGATATTTTCATAAATTATGATGACTCATAACATTAAATCCATACGAATAGCATCGAGTGAATGTAGGTAGAAACACGCACGGATGAAATAGATGAAAAGGGGTAGTAGTAGCGGGCCAGCGTATTATTTCATTATATCTTGTGCATGAGTGTGAGGAATGTTAGTATATACATTTACTTGCTATGTGTGTGCGCCCCCACGGACTGAACAAGCGGTTATAAATGGCGGGGGGGACCGACTGAGCAATAGTGTAGTGTAATATAGGCAACATATGAGAAAGAAAGAGATAGAGATTGAGGCACGCAGAGAGTTTAACACTCAAACAAACACGTATATAGAGGTAGTTTCGAAACTCGAGGGTGTGAGTGCGGTGGAAACATGGAGGGTTATATTACAACTGCCAAGGATTTAACTTATTCTTCTCGGCGACGCTGGTTCAGCCGAAGTGAAGAATACAATGTGTACAAGGTTTAATATAATTTTATTTGTGGAGAAAAGAATTTATTTGTTTTTAAATTGATTTTAAATGAGTTTTTGTATTTCTTTGAACACATTGTATATAATTATATAAAGTGTTCAAATTTAATATAATTTTATTTTATTCGGTGTTTTTGTATTTTTTTAAATGAAAATTTTTGTTTTCACAATTATTTTATGTTTTTCTTTGAACACATTGTATATACACGAAAAATACAATGTGTATAATTATATAAAATGTTCAAAATTTAATTTAATTTTATTATTTTTCACGTTTTTTAATTTTTAAATTTATTTTATGTTTTTCTTTGAACACATTGTATATACACGAAAAATACAATGTCTATAATTATATTAATTGCTCAAAATTTAATATAATTTCATTTTATTCCCCATTTTAAATTTTTTTTAATTTTAAATTTATTATTTTTATTACCTTTGAACACATTGTATATTTATTCGAGGACGAGACGGATGGCTTGAAATTAGACGCTGTGGAATGAAAGAAAGAGGAAAACGACACGCGCGCTGTGTTTAACTTTAAAACATCTCCGACAATGTAAATAATTTTAAATTAATTAAAAATATTTATTTATTTATGTTTATATTTACGAATGTATTTTTTTTTTCTGTTTGCAGGTAAGTTTTTTCCATATTTTGCTACGTTGCGAGACAATCTTTGTGAAAGCAGCTGCAGTGTAATGTGAGTTAATTAAATTTTATTTCGTCCGCGCGCGTTCTCTGTGTGTTGCGAAGTAAATACGAATGAAATTCAGTGGAAACGTAAACAAAATGTCCCAACTTCTAACGCGTTTTTGCGCGCACCTCCCCCCCACCACCACCACGAAAGTGAATATTTTCGCGCACGATCGCCGAAAAACACATGTCGGCCATGTTCTATTTTTAGCCACCAAACGCACAACTAAAAATATAATCATATAAAATACAATCAGCGTGAATTTGGAATTTTTTTAGCTTTTTTCTTAATTATTTAATTAATTAGACAAGTTTGAGAGTTTTCAGGCTTTGGAAGCCTGAAAGAAAGTAATTAAACGTAATTAAAATTAATATTTAATTAGAATACTTAAAAATAATAAAAACTTACGCGTTTTTCCGATGTAAATGTTAATATTTAATGAATTCATCAAATAGTTTTCATAAATATTCAACAGAATCGATTTGGTGGTGGTGTTTGTGCCCGTAAAGTGTGTTTTTAATCATTTTTATTGCCGCGGCTTTGTAGCGTGTGCGTCTCTTCGGCGTGTGTAAATTTTTAATAATCTTTACATTCCGTCGACGTGACGCGAGCTGCGGAGCTGCGTTCTTCTTCTTCTTCTTCTACACGCGACGTTTCCTCTTCTTGGTTTTCTCGCCTTGATTATGCATCTTTGTTGCTTGTGAGAGGTTTGGGATATGTTGGGCTTTGTCGCGATGAGGTGACGGTCGTGAGCGCCCCCTGAAGTCGTGGATATTCGTGGATGAAACGCGCGTTCATCTCGTTTCGTAAACGACTTTCGATTTATAAAACTCGACGCGCCGCGGCCGAAGAAAGGAGCGCGGCGACCCCCGCGGAGGAAAAAAGCGAATAACGAGGAAAAACTTTTTTCGACGCCCTGCGTTTTTTTTTTTGCGCTTTGCTTTCGGTTGGTAAACAGGACTTTTCTTCGACTTCAACTTCAACTTGGAGACGGGCTGACGGGATAACAATATCCAAGAAAAATCTATTACTTTTGTGTTGGCGTTTTGTGCGTGGAGGATTTAAAGGTTGAAAAATCGGGGAAATATGCAAATTGTGCAGAATAAATATTAATTTATGAAATCATATCAAATATAACTAAAGAATATTTTATTTTTTGGAATTTTTTGGGAGAAAAATTAATTTTTAAGTTTAAAAAGAGCAAAAATTGTAGAAAAATGATTAAAAAATAACGAATAATTAGAAAAATATGCAAATAGTTCAAATTAATTATTAACTTATGAAATAATATCAAATATAATTAAAGAATATTATTTTCTTATATTTTTTTTAACAGAAAAAGGAACTTTTAAGCTTTAAAAACAGAAAAAGTTGTAAAAAGAGGATAAAGAAATCGGGAAAATATGCTAATTTTATCAATAAATATTAATTTATGAAATCGTATCAAATATAATCAGGAATATTCATTTTTTGCAATTTTTTTCAATAAAAATTAAGTTTTAAGCTGAAAGTCAGGAAATATTGCAGAAAAAGTTCAAAAAAGTTTAAAAATTAATAAAATATGCAAATAATGCAAAAAAATATATATTTTTAAAATCACATCAAATATATTCAAAAATATTTCATTTGTTTAAAATTTTTAATCGAAAAATTAATTTTTAAGCTTAAAAAACCTCAAAAGTTATAAAATAAAGTTAATTTTATCTTTATCACTTTTTGTTGCTGTTGATAACAACTGCAATCAGTTGTTTAATTAACATCAGCTGTGTAAAACCAAAAATATAATACTTTCTAGACAAGAATTAAAAATAAATTCATATTACAACGAAATAAACTTTAATATTGTGTTTGTTTTAATATTTTAAGCCGAAATAAACGCGTAATTATAAAATGAAATAAAATAAAATAAAATAAAATAAAATAAAAACAAATCGATAAAAAGCGAGCAAATAAATTCGCAGCCACAAATGCGACGCGCTGTTCTGTTGTCAGATATTTCGACGTTTCACGTCGACCAAACGCGACAAACAAGTTTAGCAAACGGCGCAAAATATTTCATTACACGCGTTTGCGATTTTAATGAGCATCAAAATGATAATAAATAATGTTCAAACGTTAACAATGTGCAAATATTAAAAAATAATATTTGCTTTCATAATAAAATAATTTATTTCAAAGCTAGGTAGGTAGGGTAAAAGAGGGTAATGGGGGTCACTTAAGGGAAAACTCAAATATAATTTAAATTATAAACAAAATACTTATTGCAATCGCTTATAAGCATTGTTTACTTAAATACCTATTATTTGAAATAATTTTCAGCCACTTTAATA